GGGGGGGGGGGCGGGGGGCGGGGAAACATGATGAGCTGGAGGATTTAGGGCTGTTTAGAGCATGGTTTCAGTAAGCAAAAGGCTTCGTGGTCTGTGAATCTTCACTTACCTCCTGGGCTGACTTAAATAGCTTCATCTGGAAGCATTTACAGTTGTATGTCTTCTTGCCATTACAAATTTGGTGCTTTAGAGCATATTTGTAAATAAAATATGTTTGAAATCTCATGTGTATTATTTAATTGAAACAGTATTTTCCCCTAAAATACTTTTTTTCCATAAATAAGCTCATGAAGATACTAGCTATTTGTTGGGAGATTTATTAGAAATGTTTGTTACTGAAATGTATTCTGATTATTCTGATTTAAAGCCAAGAAAGAAGAAAGAAAAAGACATAAATCGTCATCTTCATCCAGTGATTCAGAAAGTTCAAGTGATTCAGACTCTTCTTCTGATTCATCATCGGATTCTGAGAGTGCTTCTGAAGAGAAATCCAAGAAAAGAAAAAAGAAACACAAGAAAAATTCCAGAAAGCATAAGAAAGAAAAGAAAAAGAGAAAGAAAAGCAAGAAAAGGTCAATTTTGAGAACGTTCTTGTTTTTATTAAAGAGACTTTGGAAACATTCTGTATTTTTACTTCTTGCACACCATAATACTATCACTTTCTTATACGATAGCTAATATATATATGTGTGTGTGTGTTTATGCATATATACATATGTGTATATGTGTACATATATATACACACACACTAGCTTGTGAAGTAGATATTGGCAAGTTTGGGAGACAGACTGTTTTCATGTAGTAGCTTGAATTTTTCTAATTTGATGGTAAAGCACACTGTAAGTGTGGATATCTCCTGTTATTCACACTTCTGAAAGAATGGGCTGAGACTTTCATACATCGGGCTTGGGACGTTGCAGGGCTTGGTCTGGTGTAGGTGTTGACTGGTGTTTCATGAAATTCACTTCTGTATGCAGTCCAAATTTAAATAATGTGCAGTGGGACTCCTGAGAATATAGTGTGCAGGAATGAAACAAAATTTATACACAGATATGCATACTTAACACTAGTAAAGCTCCGTCTTACATCCTGAAAGTCTTACAGTTTCACTGGAAGATAATAAAAAGACAGATGCATAAGACACTCATGCTTCTGAAAGTGTTACTTTCAGTCTGATCGTTTTGCTCACATTCAGTATAGGATACAACTGTGTAAGAGCAAGCCATGTTTTTCCAAGCCTGCACTGCAACGTAAGGAATACTCGATTAGGGCAACACTACTGACCAAATTTACATCCTAGGTATCACTTCTCTGTACCCAAACACATTTCACACATAATTATGGTTTGTACCAGCTATTTGGAATAGTTTGTAGGCGGTTATATGTGCAAGTATTAAATCTGAGCTTGACTTTTCTGATATGTTTCCTTTTAGTCTGTGTCTAAATTTAGAATACATGCATGTTTGATATTGCACCATTGGAATTTGTAGATCAAAAATATTGGTTAGAAATCTGGTGCACTTATGCACATAAGGAAAAAAGTAGCATCCGAAATAGTTCTGCTTGTTCTCTAGATTTTTTGCTTATTTATTTTACAAAAGAAAAATACTAGTTTTACCTGTAGATTTCATCTCCTTAAATGTGTAGCGTGTACATTTTCAGTATAATATCTCTTTCAATTATTGTATATCAAGTCAGTGTAATTTCTGATTTAAAAAAAAGCATTTCATCACCCAAATAACTTATTTAAAATATGAATATTTCTCTTTTGTACAAAAACAAAGCTCATCCAGTGAAAGTGAAGATGAAAACCCTGAAGCACAACCATTATCTACTGTCCGTCCTGAAGAAATTCCTCCTGTACCTGAAAACAGGTTCCTGATGCGGAAAAGTCCTCCTAAAGTAGATGAGAAAGAAAAAGAAAGGAAAAGCAGGGAGAAGGAAAGAGAAAGGTAATATGTGTGTTTGAACGTGCCTACTCACTGCTGGCAGGTGGTATGGTCATATGGCTGTTTTTTCAAGTGTTTATA